TGTGTCCTTGGGTGTCTGATGTGCCCCAGAGTGTCCCCAGGGTGTCCCACTGTGTCCTATGAGTGCCCCATTGTGTCCTATGGGTGTCTGATGTGCCCTGTAGTGTCCCCAGGGTGTCCCACTGTATCTTATGGGTGCCCTACTGTGTCCTTGGGTGTCTGATGTGCCCGTAGTGTCCCCAGGGTGCCCCACTGTGCCCCCAGGGTGCCCCACTGTGTCCTATGGGTGCCCCACTGTGTCCTATGGCTGCCCCACTGGGTCCTCAGGGTGTCTGATGTGCCCCAGAGTGTCCCCAGGGTGCCCCACTGTGTCCTATGGGTGTCTGATGTACCCCATAGTGTCCCCAGGGTGTCCCACTGTGTCCTATGGGTGCCCCATTGTGTCCTTGGGTGTTTGATGTGCCCCAGAGTGTCCTCAGAGTGCCTCACTGTGTCCTATGGGTGCCCCATTGTGTCCTATGGGTGTCTGATGTGCCCCGTAGTGTCCCCAGAGTGCCTCACTGTGTCCTATGGGTGCCCCATTGTGTCCTTGGGTGTTTGATGTGCTCCAGAGTGTCCTCAGGGTGCCTCCCTGTGTCCTATGGGTGCCCCCTCAGAGTGCCTCACTGTGTCCTATGGGTGCCCTACTGTGTCCTATGGTGTCTGATGTGCCCCAGAGTGTCCCCAGGGTGCCCCACTGTGCCCCTAAGGATGCCCCACTGTGTCCTATGGGTGCCCCACTGTGTCCTATGAGTGCTCTGCTGTGTCCTTGGGTGTCTGTTGTGCCCCATGGTGTCCCCAGGGTGCCAGTCTGTGCCCCCAAGGGTGCCCCACTGTGGCCCCTGGGGTACCCGACTGTGCCCAATGGGTACCCCACGGTGTCCCCAAAGCGCCCGTCTTCCTGCTGTGTCCCTGGGGTGCCCGGCCATGCCCTATGGTGTCCCCAAATGTGCCTCACAGCTGCCCACAGTGTCCCCCGGGTACTCGAGGATGCCTGGCCATGCCCCGAGGCTTGGCCCTATGGGTGCCCCCGGGTGTCCCTGGGTGCCCCAAGGTGTCCCCAGGGGCCCCCAGGTGTCCCCGGTGTGTCCCCAGGTGCCCTAGTGTGTCCCGGGTGCCCCGGGGTGTCCCCAGGTGCCCCCAAGTGTCCCCGGTGTGTCCCCAGGTGCCCCAACGTGTCCCCAGGTGCTCCAGTGTGTCCCAGGTGCCCGCGGGTGTCCCCAGGTGCCTCAGCGTGTCCCAGGTGCCCCCAGGTGTCCCCAGGTGCCCTGGTGTGTCCCCAGGTGCCCTGGCATGTCCCGGGTGCCCCCGGGTGTCCCCGGTTGCCCCAAGGTGTCCCCAGGTGTCCCGGCGTGTCCTCAGGTGCCCCAGTGTGTCCCGGGTGCCCCCGGGTGTCCCAAGGTGCCCCAACGTGTCCCCAGGCGTCCCAGGTGTCCCCGCTCACCTTGAGGATGCGGCTCTGGGTGTAGACGTAGGGCACCCCGAACATGACGACGGCCCGGCCGTAGTGATGCACTGCGGGACAGCGGGCGCTCAGGGCCACGTGTCCCCACGTCCCCGTGTCCCCACGTCCCCGCACTCACCGAAATCGATGCCCTCCGACACCTTCCCCCGGGCCACCGAGAGCAGGATGGCGCCGCGGCCGTTCTCACAGGCCTGCAAAGAGGCCATCAGGGGACACCCG